AGGGATGGTGGGGTTTGGGGAAGGGTGAGACCTCAGCCGTGTAAACTGCCATAAGGGTTCAGCCTCCAAAGCAGTCATTTTCTCCAGGGGAACTGATCTCTAAAGATCCGTTGTGATTCCAGGAGATCTCCAAGCTCCATGTTGGGTATTACAAGTTGAAAACACTCAGTATATCTGGGGTTAAATGTTTGTTTATGTTACTCACAGGAAGTCACATGTTTCTCGTGTAACCAATGTTCTTTAGATGTAGGAAGCCTGGGAATTTTCTCCCTGATCTAGGAATTTGATTGGGACTAAAGTGTCAAGGTGTATTACCATTTTATGGCTTCTCTTCCCGTCTGTCTTTGTTTTGATGTTCTGAAGAAGAAGGAGAGCAGCCATAATCCTCTCTTCTAGTTTTGTCTTTGTAGAGTAAGGATGTAGCCGATTTAGCTCTGTTGTTATTTTCATCCCAGTTACCCTTCCCCATGCTAGAATTCAGTAAAAACCTTATATTTTAATCACACGTGGACTCTCAGTCTGAATTATTTTACTCTGGCTCTGCTGGACTATCTCATCTCTGCTAAATACCATTTTTTCAATATCTCACGATCACCCAACACTCCACCTGTAGGTCAGCAATCCTAAACATACTTTTAGGGCAGCCTGAGCCTCCTATAAGGGTTTGAGACCTTAGGGGCTGTAGGTCTCAGGGTTGCTAACCTCCAGGTGGGGCCTGGAGATCTTCTGCTCTTACAATTGAACTCCGGACGACAGAGATCCAGTTCCTCTGGAGAAAATGGCTGCTTTGGAGTGTGGACTCTATGGCATTGTACCCTGCTGAGTTATACCCTCCCCTCTCCTTCCCAAACTACACACTCCCCAGGCTCCACCCCAAAAACGTCCTGGTATTTTCCAGCCCAAACCTGGCAACCCTATGTTGGGAGCAACCTAGGGCCTCCGTCTAACACAGGGGTTCCCAACTTCGTCAAACCCAATGAAGGGTAATAATGAGTGCCACCTTGAAATGGCTCTGGCTCAGTGACAGAACATTTGTTTGGCATGCAGAAGAAGAAGAGAACTCGTCGGCACTCCATGAAATTGCTGAGCGGTCGGGTTAGAACAGATGAAAGGAAGTACTTCTTCACCCAAAGAGTGATTAACACTTGGAATCCACTGCCACAGGAAGTGGTGGCGGCTACAAGAGGGAATTAGATAAGCAAATGGAGCAGAGGTCCATCAGTGGCTATTAGCCACAAGGTATAGATAGGGACTCTGGGGCAAGTGATGCTCTGTCATCTTGGTGCTTGGGGGGGTCAACAGTGGGAGGGCTTCTAATGTCCTGGCCCCACTGCTGGACCTCCTGATGGCACCTGGTATTTCTGGCCACTGTGTGATACAGAGTGTTGGGCTGGATGGGCCTTTGGCCTGATCCAACATTGGCATCTCTTATGTTCTTAAGAGTTGGTTTTATACCCCACTCTTCACTACTCGAAGGAGTCTCAGAGCGGCTTACAATCTCCTTTCCCTTCCTTCCTCTCCCCACAACAGACACCCTGTGAGGTAGGTGGGGCTGAGAGAGCTCTGGGAGAACTGCTCTTGAGAAAACAGCTCTGAGAGAACTGTGACTGACCCAAGGTCTCGCCAGCAGGTACGACTGGAGGAGTGGGGAATCAAACCTGGTTCTCCCAGATTAGAGTCCGCCGCTCTTAACCACTACACCAAACTTCCTCTCTGCTAGGTAAGCCACTATTGAGAAGCTTGGCATGCTTTAATCTAATTCTCAGGTGTGGCTCACCATGCCCTGCCAAGCATTCAGAGAAGAATTGGTTTTTATACTCTGCCTTTCTCTAGCCAAAGATGTCTCGGAGCGGCTTACAATCCCCTGCCCTTCCTCTCCCCACAACAGACACCCTGTGAGGTAGGTGGAGCTGAGAGAGCTTTGAGAGAACTGCCCTTGAGAGAACAGTTGAGCTACTGGCATTAAAGTTGTGAGCGAGCGATTCGGCTACTGCATAAATTAGTTTGCTCTGGAGCCCTCCTTCCTGAGCTAAGACAAAAATGTGTGAGGCTAAAAAAAAAAACCCAGTGAGCTAGCTCACACTAACTCAGCTTAGAGGGAACACTGCCTGTGAGGTGGGTGGGGCTGGGAGAGCTCTGCGAGAACTGGGACTGGCCCAAGGTCACCCAGCTGACTTCATGTGGAGAAGTGGGGAATCAAACCCGATTCTCCCGATTACAGCCTGCCGCTCTTAACCACTGCACCAAACTGGTTCTCTCCCATTAAAAAGATGAGGTAATAGGTGATGTGAAGGACCACTGAGACTCTGGGGAGCAGCCGCCTGTCAGAATAGGTGCGCCAAGGTCAGTCTGGTCAGTAGAAGGCAACTTGACAGCCATCACTAACAAAAGAAGCAATAGGCATTGGAAAGGGGCCGTGGCTCAGTGGTAGAACACCGGCTTGACATGCGGAAGGTCCCAGGCTAGGGCGGTTCCCAGGCCTCCCTAA